TATATATATATTTATATATTAAACAGAGTGGACCAAATTCTGCCCTCACATCTGTGCAAACCAATTCTAGAGAACCAGTATTGTGTGAGAGTAAAAGAAGGCATAATTTCACGCAGAATAAACACAGTGGGTCAGATCTTGGGCAGATGGAAATTCCTCGAAGAGATGGAGCGACGCTTATGTATTCTAGGTGGGAGGATGGTTGTATTTATTCCGAGGGTTCCTTGCATGCAGCTGGACATCAGCTCAATGCCAAATGTGGGTGGTAGATTTGCAGCTGGCACTGTTTATCCGACCGTCCCATCCAGCCATTCCTTACCTTCCCCATCTGCCTGCCTAAATCCAGCCTAGCCAGGAAATTTGCCCAATTCTGCTCAGTATTTGCCCAACCATAGACATTTCATGGCCTGGTGGCCCAGGGGACTGCCGTCCTGCTGCACGGCAGATAACGCGCAGCCCTCTGCTCGTGGATGTTCGCTGGGAGCATGGGGAAAGGACCCCTTCCCCGGTACCCACCGCTCTGGGGAGAGCTCCCCCTCCTTAACGCTGAGGGAAACTTGCCAGCCCGTGGCCTCCTCCACAGCAGTCTCACATCAACCCAGCCTGCATTTTGGTACCTGCTCTGCTCTTTGTGTGGAAGATAAGGGATTCACTGGCTTATCACCTTCTCTAACTACCTCCTTTGTATTCTTTAGAGCAAAAAAGTACCACAAATTGGCAACGTCTTCCCTAAAAAGGGTGAGATGCACACTCTGTAAGCAGCATCTTCCTTCCTGGCCATCTGACCCAGGGCCTTCCAGTTTGGTTTGCTTTTCAAAGGTCTCAGGAAATGAAAGAAGAAATTTTACTATTCACAATCCAATGGTAGCGGGGTGCACACGGCACCAGGGACAGGCCCCAGCTACTCCACGTGGGCTACAGACTAGTAAAGGAAGAGACGTCTGGGCTACATTTCCCCCCTCCTCAGAACAGCCAGGAAACTGCACAGGGCAATCTCCTACAGGTTGCAGCCACCCTACAACCACCAGCCAGTCAGCAGAGATCTCATCCACAATGCTTTTACCTTCTTTTTCCAATCTCAGAAGATTTAGTCAGAATTTATTTTGAACTACAGCGTGGTTGGACACCACCAAGCGGACAATGCTACCAAGAAGAACAAGACATACAAAGGTGTGGGTTTCACAGCAGTATGCAGATATTTCCAGATGCCAGGATCGTAACTCAACAGACACCTGGTCCACATGTGCTGCCACCAATTCACGGTTCAACGTGACATCCACGTTCCCCCTGCTGCCAAAAGCAAAATACCTGGCTCTGGAGCTAGAGCACTAACTCTGCCAAAGGTACCCTCAGTGAACAGAGAAGTCTTTGCACATCGCATCTCCTCCTACAAACCATGTCAAAACTTCCACTGACTCACTGCGAGCAGAGCTAGGTACGCCAATTCTCCACTCCCACCACGCAGCTGAAAAGCAGCGTACGCTGCACACAGTTGTTCTTATTGCTCAACAAGAGGGATGTCTTCGTGAACAGTAAGAGGCCAGCAAATATGGATCACAGGTCTGCTTTGTTCTTTTTGTATGAAATATTGGCCTATAATTATGATTGACTGAGTCTACAAAAACATACTGCAGTTTAAAGACGACATACTTTAGTACAATCAATGGGGAGAAAAAGTGCATCTTAAAATGTGGAGCCTTGCTTTTGAAACTCAGCATCTTTTCTAGAGTCTTGTGAGAACTTTAAGGCAGAGTTTCCTTTAGCAGACCACAATGCTGAAGACTTGGACAGCTTTCTCAGTGAGGTATCCAAACGAAGCCCTATAACTGAGGCATTGTGGGTTCTTGAGGGTCCATTTTCAGCTGGACATACACAATGGCTGTTAAGTAAAGGCACTCTAGTGTACAGCCTTAGGCAGTGTGTTATTGGCAGTAGGGAAGTGTAAATTTAGTACATCACAGCAGATCCTACAGCAGGTTCCTAGAACAGAAAGGGACAGGAAAGGAAAAAAAAAACCCATGAGCAAAACACAAACCAAGCTTGCTGAAGCTTCTAGGGAGCCAGGTCCTTCCCCTTCTCACCTCCCTGCCTATTTTCCACATATCTAGTGGCAGACAGCAGAGAGTCTCTGCTCTCTTTTGGGAGAGTCAGCTTTTTTCCTTATCCCTCTACAGCTGCTCTAGAAGAAATGACTGACAGCTGTATGGTGAAGCATATTTGTTGAAACCTTGCAGAGCTGATGCAAGGCCTATCTACCCCTTAAATTCCACGCAGGTAACCTTTAAACATTTCTCAAAAATTAGTGAGATTCAAGGTGACTCTCACCTGCTGAGTTACAGTGTGCAGCTGGTTCTGTGAGGGTCTGGCTCAGAAGTCTGAATTGCAGGGGACCACTAATCTAATCTATTTTATTTTACTTTTAAAATAAGGGTAGCACATTCCTGGAGACCAGTATACAGCCAGAATACATTCACACAGGCTGGCATTCAGCACTGCACAGCTGCTATACTACGGCATATAGTCAGACAGCTTCCGAGGGCACTGGTCATATTTGTTCAGAGCTGCCTCAGTGCTCTCTATTCTTTTTCCTCAAACTATTAAGAGAAGTTTTGTGAAGATGGTGAAATATAGCTGCCGACACAGATACCGCTATCTCTCTATTTACTGCTTTCAACAGCAGTTCTAAAAACATTTGTTATGAGTTTACCATTAAGTCCTTGGCAGTGCTTTTCCTCTCTTTAGTTCTTTGTGTTAGAGATCCTTGAAGCATGAAGTTTCTGTTAAACGTTCTGACAGTGGTAACTGGAGAACCATCTATTTTTTCACCTGGGAAAAATACAGAAAGGGAGATTTTTCATGTAACAGATTGAAGCAGATGTAACAATACTTCTGAAGAGTCACAGCTCCTACAGAGATAAAACTTCCCCTAAGACGTATGAGGAAAGCTGGATTTAATTTAAATGAAAAACAGCAGGCTACGATACTCCAAATTTATTAAAGTTTGAGGCCGTGTCAATCAGTGGAATTACACAAGAGTAAAACAAGAGTAATGCAAGGTGAAGCAGGCCCTAGAATTGTCAGAGATTAACCACTGCAGGGTTAAAAAAAAAGAGAAAACATGAAAGAAAAAAGCACTTTATTTTATAAAGCCAATTCACAGACGTATCCTAACGTATCAGCAACATCGCTGAGCCACATCACATGGACTGCAATCAGCAGACATAGGCTTTAAGAAAGCAACGGTGTGTTGTGGCAACTGGCTTTTAGTAATTAAACCCTGTGACTGCCTGAGCCTCACAGCCTAACCCCAGGCATGCCAGACTAGCAGCGTCCCTGCTGCAGGATAAATATTCAGCATTTCTCATTTGCTTTTCCCAGCCTTCTGCTTCTGCTCCTATTAATTTGCCACTGTCACAACTTCCACGGAAAGAGAAAGCGGTGATGCTTTTTAATGTGACAAATGGGTACTTTATGTAATGCAAGTACAATGGGAAATGAGGCGGGTGGACGTGTTTAGGCTTACTCTGTTCATTTTATAACTTAATCTTTCCCGTTTTGCTGAACTGTACATTACATTGAACCTTATAAAGACAGACTCTAAAATGTACGTAACAACTTAAGTGCACCTTTTATTGGTGGAGCTGGAAGTTTTCTCCTCTGCTGTCTTGATGTGTCTATTGTATGCATCTGTAAACAACACATATGTATTACTCAACTCCATTACAGAAAAAGAGGGAAGGTTTCCCCAATGTATTTTTGAATACTACGTAATGTTCTGGCACCTGGTTTGTTTGCTTTTGATCCCGTTTCCTTGTCAGGCGAACACATGGAGCCACGTTCAAGCCTGCAACAGTGAGAGCTGATATTCTGCTCTCAATATCTGAAATCTTCAAAGAAAATAAAAGAAAGAGACAGACAGATGGGGAGGGGGAAAAAGAAGTTTTAACATTACTGTGGATGCCACTACTAAAATATATCCCTCCCCCAGTCAGATTCTCTTTAATCAAAAAATATTAACAGATGGCTAACTTCTTCAGAAATTCTGACACTTTCCTGTATTCTTTAGTCCTAATGTTAAAAAGGGCTTAATTTGTTAGTAAAGGTGCAGTAAAAGAACAATCCAACCTACCGTGTGACTCCAAGGAAGAGGCATTTTTACTCCTTTTGAGAAAGAAAACAGAGGAGAGAAAACCCCTGTCTGCCATTTCCCAGTTACCTTTAGCTGCATAATCCCAAGTTCATTCAAGCTGTGTTTTTAAAGGCTACATTCAAAGAATGACTTTGTGGGACACATTTCCTCATTCAAAATTAATTTCATGCACACACAAGGTACATCCTCTGTCACAAAATCTAAACATTTGATCTTACATATTTATCATTTACGTGTATACGTATGTTAAACACAAACATGCATAAATGCAGGTTACACACTATATAAAAACACTCAATGGAAAACAAATTGTTAGGAAAAACAAAAGTCCAAGAAAGCAAACATCTGGGGGGAAAGTCGGCTGATGTTGAGACTAGAGGAAACAAATGTTGCCAAAAGGGAAAGAAGTGTCAGAGAAGTCAGACATATAACCCGACTCCTGATTCACGACAACACCTGAAGCTGCTCACCCTGCAGAAGACCTTCAGCTGGCCTCTCGGTCATCCTCCTTGCATAGCTTAGGCCTCTCTCCTCCTCACGTCTCACGCCCATTAACATATTTATCGTAAAATTATGACTGAAGCCAACAAAGCGTCACTGCCAGTTCGCCATCTAGTGCAGCAATGCACTTCTGACATCAGAGAGATGTCAGACTCTCAGATCTTTCTTCAGTCCTAAATCGAGCATGCTACGGCTGAGTAAAACCCCCAGGTACTTCCCATTAAAGGCCGGCACAGGCAGGTCTGAGTGCCTCGCCTGGTACAGACCCGTCAGTGAAACCAATGGCAGTGAGTTGCTAGCAGCGTTATCCCCGCAGGGTCTGGCAGCGTTACCTCGTTCAGCTTGTAGCACCACACCACCGTGTTCTCTTCTGAGCCCCAGACTTTCTGGAGCCTGCTACAGAGACACTAGATCGCAGCCCACAAGAGCAATTGCCTTTTTGGCTAGAGATGTGTGCTGCTTAGCGGCTAAATCCCAAGGCAGGCTTGCAAGCGCTGGGCTCTGTGTCTGGCTGCCTTTGGCCATTTTCGGTAGAATTGTACCAACACTGGCTTCTTTTATAAAGTACTTTACAATCCGCTAATTAGATAAACTGCCTAAGACTGTATTTTGCAGTCTGACAACAGCCACGTGCGTGACACAGAGCGCACCACATCAGCTGCCTGGGAGCAAGGAGCAGGTTCAGTATTAGTGTTGCAGGAACGGGCTGTTGCACTCCTATGTCCGAAAACAAGCTGGGGGAAGAAACAAACAAATACAGCACATCTGCCTGGGCTGAGGTACGCATCTCAGTTAGGCTTTGCTCAGCTCCTGTGATGCAGTCAGCATCCTTGGATCATGACTTCACTGCGGTACAAAAGAATATTGAAAGTAAGTGTGCACGGACAAAAGGTAAGCGCTAGGCAAGGCAGCGTGAAACTTGCAGGTAAGGGAGGAGCTGCTGTCCTCACCTGAAGCTCCGCGTGATGAACCTGGGCGGCTGCTGTGGCCACCTGATCCTCCAGATCGGCCAGCTCAGATTCTGCCGTAATAGTGTTGATCTTGCGTGCGGCGTCCTCCAGGTTGGTCAGCTGCCCCTCCAGCCCGTACACTGTGCTGGCTGTCAGGTACACCTGCAGGGCCAAGGCAGGGAGAGGTGGCAGCGATTTCTGTTTTGTGGGCACGGAGGTTTGAGCAGACCGCATCTTCCATGATGCCTTTGAGCTTCCCTCCTTGCTAACCCACTACTGGGAGACTTACCTGGCAGGGGAAAGTCACAGGGGGATAATCTGAAAACACACATCCACAAAGAGAAGGGAGATGGGAGGTGGCTGAGCTCCAAATTTCATAGGTGCTACAATAATATTCCAAACCAGATTTGTTCCAGGTTCACCAGCAAAAAAAAAAAAAAAAGCTGAAAGGCTTGCTTTTTTATTTTTGATATGCAATTGCATAAGAAAACTCCTGAAGCCTGCAAGGGGAAGTCAACCGATCACACCTCATGTAAAGCTGTGTTTACTGAGACACGCCTAATGCCTTCTGGCAATCAAAACTCTGTAAGAATAACTGTTCAGGAGTGTATGGTTATTAACTTCTTATAGAGTAACTGTGCTTACATGTACAACAGAGTTTTCCATCCCATTCTGCTCTCACCCAAATATACAGCGGCCAAACCCCTCCCACCTCCTGGCCATTTGGAGTGAATCTGTGGGGGGTCAATAGACTTACGTGGGCCACAGAAAAGAGAACAAGAGAGTTTATCATTTAGAGATCTTCCCTAAAAATAAACAACTTTTAAATACTTTGACCCACCTACAGTACCTCTGATAACTGCAGGTAAAGGTCTCATTTCCTATTTAGCTCCTCAGAGGAATAATTCATGATAGACTTTTATGTGTTTCTTTTATTTCACAAAGAAATCTAAAGGTGCATGGCTGGATGGAGGTCTCTGGCTTATAGAAAAGGGTAATTTTCAAGCACTAGCTTTTAACATCTGTGCTTAAAATTGTGCAGACCCATGCAAAAATACCGCACCTTCTGCCTATTTACTAGATAGCCAAGAGACTGTTTCCATGAGGCTGGTAATAGCACAGTGGAAATGAAGTATATATTCTGATTTTCTCTACTGGCAGCCTCACTCACTCTAATAGCAGTAAAGACTCTGGTGCTACAAAACTAGCATGAATTAAATATATTCTGTGTGTGACTTCATGGTTCAAGGGGCAGGCAAACAGGATCTGAACCAGATCCTTCAGCAGATACCTTCACCTCATACCTGTTTTGCACTCAATTCGTTACATCTGCCTGCAATTCCTAGATCACGCAGTCCTTTGACATAACAGGTGTTCAAATAATTTCCGGCCATGCTGCGACTTTAGGGATCAATAGTGGTGGAGAATGACTTGATTAAGATTTAAGTAACTGTTTACTTTTCATTATTTTTTATTTTACTATGATTTCTTAATTCCTTACAAATAGGTTTTTTTCTTTGTATCAGTTGCTTCAAAGCATAAATGCATATACATTTTTTTTAAGTATGTGACTTTGCTAAGAAACAGATTTGCTAGATCTTGTATGAACTGCATCTTTTAAGACCACAGTCTAACTGCAGGCATGAAATCTTTGAAAAATGTACCTAGAACAAACAAGTGATCTGATTTAACATCTTTGCTGAAGTACTGAAAGTGGACCATAAAGTTAAAGTGCTGATTTAAATGGAAATGTTCCTGCTCTTGTGGGTTTTAATTATTCTTTCCATTCATTTAAATGATACATCTTTGTGGTGTAACATAGCACAGCCACTTCAGATTAAAAGGTGATTTTTTAAACTTCCCTATCATGTCTAAAAGCTCAGAGAAAGAAGAAAAAGGAACATTATGAACAGAAATATCTTTAGAAAGTTAAAGAAAACATGCATTTAAAGGCTGTGCCAAAATTCTCTGCACAATAAGTTGTACTTTTCAAGAGGGGAAAAAAAATAATCTAAAGAAAATAGGACTGATAGAAGAATGTGGGAAGGGAAGGTCATCAATGTTTTTGTAACCCAAACCACATTTGTTAAATTTTAGTTTTATTGAACGTTTTCCAGCTAGATTTAAATAGAAGATTTTTCTAAAGAATATTCTCTTTACCTGAACAATTGTTGCACTTCCAAACAGCAATAGGGTACTTGCAGGTCTGCACTAAAGTATGCCCTTATGCATACATTCGCGTTCAGATTGTGGAGACTTACTTTACTACCATTTAGTTATGCACAGCTTCCATTAAAAACTGCCCGAGTTTGTGCTGGTACAGCTACATTCTCCCCACTGCTGTGTGCACAGTCCCCGAAACGCTACAGAGAGCAAAAATGAACAAAGTGTCTATATATATACCCAGATCCTCTTCCAAAATTTGCTGCAGAGAGGATATGCTGCACGCAGAAATGCCCCCAGGTGCGCTGGGAAAAGTTATGGATTCCTGGATTTCTAAAGACTCTTTAACTCTGTTATGGTGGTAAAATCTTGAAACTATGAAGTTTTGCCATCTATTGCAAACCCTGTGCGGGGCAGAGAAAGATGTAGCGTGGGGACGCAGCAAGGCTGGGCTGGACACCTTCTGAATTATCCAGGGAACTGAGAGAAGCTAAACCAGGGACATGCTGCAAGGAGAGCGATGCCACAGCACAAAATGCTCTGCCTCAGCGCCCAGCCTCTGCTCAGTGGGAAATGCTCGGTCCAAATGAAATGACTAGGGGCCATGGCACCACAGATGCCAAAGCTCCACAAGGATGGGAGAGATTGTTGGAGTGTAACTGGGGAAAAAAAATGCACCTCAGACAGTTTACAACACAGTTGTCCACAGAAAAAATGCGGGAGGAACTCTCCCCAAATTGCTCTCTGTCCTCCTAAGGAATTTCTTAGTCTTTTCTAAAGATGTGGTCCAGCCTGGACTTGGATTTTCCTTCTGTATTCACTCTCCTGACAAAGGTATTCTGTGGTGTGTGGAGCAAGTATCCTTCAGTATTTCATGGGGGAGAAAATCTCCATCTACCTACTTCTATTCTTCTGAAAAAAAATTAATCAAACTGAACTAGAAGTTGTGGGGGTGTGTCTGTCATGTAAGAATGAAATGGGCATCATGGTAGGTGGCATGAGGAAGGCACTTTGCTCGCTAGAAGCTCAAGGTACACCCTTCTCTGGGAGGGCTCTGGAGAAGACAGGCCCAGTGGCAGGAGTGGCTGGCATTGCCATGAATTATCTCCTCCTCAGCCCCCAGCCTGGGGCTGTTGTGGAAGTGCATTTCTGTGAAGGAAACGGATTTTATCCCCCAAGAAGAGATTCTGTCTTTGAAAATTTTCCAGGGGTAAAGAAAACCAGGATCTATTTTCTCGAATTGATCTGGATGTTATAATGGGACAGCCCAGATTTCTACGCGATCCTTAAAAGTTCCTAATGAAGGGAAAATTCACTGAAATGTAATCAGTTAAATGTGGGAAGAAGAGAAAATCAAAAGTTACAAGTGTACCAACTCCATTAAGTGGATGCACAAAAATTTCCAATGAGTAATGACTTCCCTCTATGATTCAGCATTACGCTTTTCCTTGCAGATGACGGGTACTCACGAAAAAAGGATGAGTGATTCGGACATGGCCAAACAGAAATGTTTAATTTGGCTTCTCCAGCTTGCTCTTTTTAACAGTGCAGCAGGCAGCTCCGGCTCCCTGGGTGCTCAGGGCAGCGTGTTGGGGAAGCGCGGGTGGAGGAAGACCTCCTCCGCTTCTCCGGGGGAGTGGGGACGTGCCTTCCCTACCCGTCCTTACAGTAATGAGGCTGCGCTGAGACTTGGAGATGTGTGGTGTCAGCAGGGCATGGGGCAGCCGCACAGCCTCACAGGTTTGGATGGCTGAAATTAACTTTTGAGATAGGGATTCTAAAATTGTAAAACCCAATGCATCCAATTCTCCCCCTCCTCCAAATGTTTTAAAGTGCACATTAAAAAAAAAAACCACCCAAGAACACAGCTGCATACCCCTTTGAAATAGGATTTTTTTCTTCTGTTTGCATATTTAATAACCTAAAATTAATTCTGAACATCCACTGACACTGCCTACGTGCTTTCCCTTTCCAGTTGTCACACAGAGGTACGTTTACTCACACACGTGACACTTTCACATACTGATTCTTGTTCTTACGTTTTCTTCCAGTGTAGTGAGCTGTTCATCGAGTCTGACGGGGTCCGTCCCCAGTGGGAATGTCCCTCTGCCTCTGTCCTGAACGTCAGCTGGGAAATCGCAGGGATCAGTGGATTCTGCTATCAGTTCTTCAGTGGCATTGATGACTTTCAGGACCTCTGTAGATATGTTGCAGAGAGAGACAGCAGAGTACTTCTGTTTTGTTACAAGAGTAGACAGAGAAAACAACAGCATTAAATTAGCACAGAGGGGTAATATGTAAAACCACCTTGCTAACAGCTGTAGCTTTAGCCATGCTAAAACAAAATACCTGGCTAACTGCTGCGAACAGACACAAGAACTGTGTGATGAGATTCTACTTCTCTTTTTCTCCCTCCCTTTTTCACATACGTGCAGTGACACAGCACGCAAAATAACATACACACGCAATTCTTCCACAACACAATTTCTACTGGAGGGATGGTACAAATCTTATCCCTAAGGAGCAGACAAATATCCAGCTTTAAAATCCCAGTGAGCTAGATAAGGCTATTTTTGCAATAGTGTTTTAAACAGGTTTTAAAACACAGTCTTCCTTTTTGGGTACTGGCAAACAGTAGTGGAATCATCTGTCTCCATACCCACAGGAGCTATTGCATTGCAGCCACAAACATGGGAGAGCAATCTTCAGCAGCCCTATTAGGATGGTAGTTTACAAAGATGTTTGCTATGAATTATAGGATAGCCCCAAAAAGCAAAGGTTGAGCTGTAAGTGTGTAAACACTTGTATCTTGATTGTTTAAAAATTCAATTTACCTTTTTTTAATATTTATGAAATAAATTATATCAAATACCAAGAAAAAGCATGCAGTTTTATCCATATTTTTTCAAAATAACTGTAAGCCTTTTTGTCAGTGTTCCTGATTTGTAATTTGTAATTAACTATCCTGATTCTGATGATTCTCATGGAGCTTTAGGATTCAGGACAACTCCTCTGATGGCAATAAAATTTCACCTGATGTGCCCTCAAGCATGAAGCTCAACATCCAAACTATACAGCTTGGAGATTGAGCCAAACCTTGTTAAAGCCAATACAAATACTGTCACTGAATTTATGTGCAATACCTTTAGTGTTGCTTTGCCTAAAAGAAAATGTGGGAAGTTTAATCCCATATTTAATTCATTCCTCAAACCTGCAAATACTTATGCATGTGAATTAGGGGCCCACGCATCCGTAAATTTTTCCACAAATACAATACCTGAGGATCAAAACTGAGGAAACAGACTGTCTTTGGGTTCTATATAGTAAATACCATAGTACAGGAAAGTATAACTGATGGTCTGCATGTTATGTAAACACTGAATTAAACAATATGTCAGCTGTCCTCCTAGGCAGGATAAAGGAGAAATAACGTTTCTTTGCTTCACACAAACTCTAGTGGATTTAACTGGAAAACTTCTTTTATTACCTCTTTCCTGTAATCAGCTGTCCATTTTTATGTTAGATAAGACTTTTACTGAAAAACTACTTTTTCAGCAGTGTGTGCTCAACTGTTCTGTATCAACACATTAAGGCATCTTTAGCACTGTTACTTCTCCGAATTACAAGAAATAATTAGATACATGAGATTAAAGAGAAGGAGAACAAAGCAAATACAGCGTGCTACAGCACACAGATCTTTAGCTTGTTAGGAGAGCCAACATGGCCCCGAACAAGCAGGCCCAGGGCTCTCTTACGGAGAACAAATACTTGAACCCCATAAACAGCCTACTGTTTTTTCCATTTATTTTCACAAGTGCCAATTAGGTTAAAAACAGATCAATAATTTTATAGGACAGAAGGGGAAATCAATGTTACTTTGTTTTATTATTTGCTTTCACAAGTACCTAATTCTTATCCTATTCTATGAGTAGCAGACAAAAAAGGATAAAGGCCAGACACTACATTTTCTTCATCATCTTTGCTGATGTATGTTCTCCATTTCAAGAACTGTAGCCTCACTTTAGTGTTCATTATTTCTTAAATTTTTTATTATGCCTTGTAGCTAATGATGGATTTCCAAAAAAGATTAAATAAAATTAGAAAATGGTGTTCTTACATGAGAATCCATATTGGCATTTGTTACAGACCAATTACTGCAAAACAGGTTTTCTGGTTTTTGTTTCCCTGGTGAAGTGTTCTGTGATAGTAAGCTTTTATGAAATCAAAATTTTGAGTAAAATACTCTACTTTCTCAATAGGTAATGGATAGGGGAAGAAAAGTTCAAGGAGAAAGGAATGTCATTTTTAGCTTTTCTAGAATTTTGAGGTAAGTTCTTAGTGCCAGATGCTGTTTGACTTTTAAAACCAAAGGTTTGCTTCACGTTAAATGTTGCACAAGGCAGATAGATGAATGTCGATAAAATGTTTGCATCAATGAACGTACCTCAATCCTAGCCTGCAGGTTATCTAGACACAGGAGTCACAACGTTAAAGCTTTTCAAGCTTGTGACACATCTGCTTTTATAGTATAAAAAGGATACAGCACTAGAGTTTAAACACTGTGAAGAAATATATGGCAAGCAAATGTGATTTTCCTTAGAGTAAATCTGAAGAGTAGATCTCCCAAGACTTTAGAGCACAAGCAATATTTCAATGTATTTAAATCCAAACTTTGTGAAAGTTTTCTGCTAACAGGTATTTAGAACTCAGCTTTGCCCTGGGCTGCATTTTACAGAACAGTAAGAAGAGATTAATGTCTGCCCAAGGGGGACATAAAGTAAACACATGGGGAGTTCAAGGGTTCTCAAATTGGAAAAATTGGATACTCGGTTAATGGTTTTGCATATGTTATTGCCTCTTTTTTTGAGCAACTGTCAAAAGTTGTTAAAACAGCTTGGCCACTTTGCAAACCTAGTGGGTTACTCTAGATATAATTATTTAACATGCGAGAGGAGAAAAAAAAAAAAGAAAGAAAGGAAAAAAAAAGGAAGTAAAAGAAGAAAAAATATCCTGGAGTTTCAGTGCTTCACAATCCTCTCCCCTCCCCAACCACCCACGTCAAACTTAGGAGTTATGAGGTTCTATAAAAATCACCTAAAATTCACAGACACACGCGTACCAAGGTCATCCTGGTAGGTGGACATTTCAAATTGCTATAAAGACCTCTTGGCTGTCTAATTTATCTTGCCCTTGCAGGAAAGGTCATTGTTAACACCTGTAAGGGATTCAAAGAGACAGCTATCATGCCATGATGAAGTCTCTCCCATCTGTCTTGTCAAGCAAGTCAAAGAACTAATATGGATGTGATAGACGCAGAAAGCAATCTCTATTACAAATATCTAGCACAGAAAAGCTAAGTGCAACCATTCTTCTCAAAACACTGGGATGTATTCTGACTTCAGTTGTGCTTCCCCTACTTCTGGATTAACACCAACCCTTCTAAATGAAATCGATGCAGCTGATCCAAACTTGAATTTTTGTACTGGTTATGAGAATCTCATTTTTTACTGAATTTGAGATTAAGAGGTTAATGGAACAAAGAAAACACAAATTTATCCTTCTTACGATAATTAATGTCCACGCTCACAAATATGTTAAAGACAGTCAAAACAAGATGCTCTATTTCCCAAGTTCTTTGTGGAAGAGTTTTCAAACCAATGAAATACTAAAAAAGTGTGTGTGTGCGAGCACATATACATGTATGTGTGCCTGTGTGTATTGAATATAACAAACAGCATCTTGTAAAACTTCTTTACTGTCATTTCTATGTGTGGCTGGACAGATGGAAAGGATTCCTGTTTTGCTGAAGATAATGTTTCAGTGGTCTAAGCTAGCTCTTGCTGGCTGTTAGCCATTTTCCTCACTTCTGCTGTCTCTTTCTTTTCCCTGCTGACGCTGCAGATATTTCCTTTGGTTTTTTTATTTAAGGATGCTGGAAGGTGCTTTATATAGGTAACGGAAGTAAAGCAGGTAGATAAACTGAAGCAACATAAATGTCCAAACTGCTGAGAGTAGGTGAGCATTAAGTCCTTGTATACATCTCAGCAGTCTATGACATCTCCACATAATTTCCTTTGCATGAACATTATTGCTTTTATTTTTAATACTCCTAAAGTTGTTAAGTTCTCTGTCACTTGAACTAATTTCTTCTCCACAATGTACTCAGCCATTAGCATTTTCTCTTTGTTTTTGCTACTACGATGTTATGGCATCATTGGGCTCTATTAAACTGGCATGGGAGGCAGTGACTCGCAATTCAACAGAGAACAGTTGACATCAACAGTTAGATATAGAAATAGAGAAAGGGAAACTTGCAGCCCTGACAGTATTGACCACATCTGTGATGACCTGTAGTGCAATCGTTTCTAGCTCTGGTCTCAAGCCATTCTATCACGCTCCCAGTCGCATGCCTGTTTCTCAGTCAATATCCTCATTTTTTTGTAGGTAGTTGAGGGGGGGCTGAGGAGAAGACAAGTTTTGCTTTGCCACTGGTTGATTCATCTTTTCAGAGTAACCTGACTGAATCTAAACTTGATGAAAACAAAACCAAAACCCAAACCTGCTTCCTCATCTCCCCACCCCTGGGAGATCATTGTACAGCTTTGAGAAGGCCCTGAAAAGCCCACCAAAAGTCCATCTCCCCTTCAGAAGATGCAAGATCTGGGACACTGGCCAAGTCACAGTGAGGGAGGAACAGGGCCATCAATGCTCAACCATCAATGACGGTCGTCAACCCTGACGATCAAAATAATTTTTGGCCTAGAAGTGAGCCCTAACCGGTCATTACCACAAAATACTGGGAAAGAAAGCTAAAATTTGCCTTGATATTTGATGGAAGACAAGTATATTATGATAAACCATGGTATTAAGGGATTACTCTTCTGTGCAAGTTTAAGACTTCCTGCCTTGACCTTAATATCAATGTCTTCATTTATGGGCACTCATTTAGAAAAAGAAAGCTAACTTATCGTACAGAGTGAGCTATTATTCTACTGACATTCCCCAATGTATGACAGAGAAATACAGTCTCTCTTTTTGATTGTGCTAGGTAATTCTGCATATTAGATTTTTATTAATGAATTCAATCCACTGTCCTAATGTAGGTCACAGATGTTATTCTTAGTAATCTTTAATGCCTCATTTCTAGAGAGAAATTGCCTATAATCATGAGAAAGGAAGTTATTTTCCAAGAGGTGGAACATTATGGTCCAAGTTGGAAATGGAAATATTTATA